AAAAGGTAATTGTTTTACTACAATCAAGTTCACAGCCATGTGCCTGTACAGCAAATGGGGGTTTAACAATACAAATGTAATAACTGAAAGAAACAGTTTTTTCATCTAATGACTCTTGTAGGAACATAATGATGAATCAATAATAATAATAACAAAAGTAACAACAATAACAATAACAATAATAATAATAATAAAAATGAAGACAATGATCATAATGATAAAAATAATAATGATAACAAAAACAGCATCAATACCAATATGAACATATACTCATCATAATAATAGTTAGGATAATCAGTAATAATAAATTCCTCACTTCAGTTAACCACCCACTTCACATCATCTCCAAAAGTTATCTTTCTTAGTGTGTTTGTCACTGGAAATGAAATCTAAACTTTGAGACTGTTTTCAGGTACTCTATTTAACCCGTTGCTAATGGGAACACAAAATATCCATGGTAATTTTGTTTTGTATACTGTGTTTCCACATATATGGGCTCCACATGTGTTCAGCCACCAATGAGTCAATTATTAAACTTACATGACCTCACCTGATTTCACTTTTCCTTGAGTTTGAGGATTTTTTGAGTTTTTTGTTTTGTTTTTGATACTATTTATATCAATGCCATTGTTATTATTATTGGCATTGTGATTACCATAATGTTATCAAAAATACTATTATAACATAAAAAAGGATATTTCAAAAAATCAAGGAAAAGGGTAAAATGTGAAATAGGTAGGACTAGTAATTGACTTCTCATTGACTAAGCAGAGCCATATAATTGTAAACAAAACTAACTGACTAAGATCACAGTGGACATGGCTTAAAAGTACATTCCATCCCTGGCAATAATGGGTTAAGACTGGCTACAGCTTATGCTCCAGATGATCTCATGGATGAGATATATTTTAACATAAAATAACATGCTAAGTCGTAATAATATACAACTGTTAGAACTTAGAAAAAAGTGATATCACATACTCATAATGCAAATTCACTGGCTTCACTGATATAAATGTTTTGCTATTTCAGCAGACTAGATTTAAGATGATTTGGGGAGGCCTATCATATCAGCAAAGCATCTGTCCAGCCGGAGTGCCAGCTTGGCTGCCAAAAGCTGACATCTACGGTCCCTGTCCTGTTGAAGGGTCACAGCCAGCCACTGCCGGAGCTCCATCATTTCCCCAGGAACCAGAGATAGGAGCACTGTATCTGGGACGGCCTCCAGTGCTGATGACAAACCCTCCAAACATGCTCCTCTGATTTCAGGGTCGTTCTGGACCCTAAGGGACCAGGTGAGCTCTAGCAGGCAGCCAGCCATCTTGGTTGTAATCTCAGACTGGCCTGTCACCCTCACGAAGAGGCCAAGGGTACGGAGCAGGTCACACAAGAGATGGCGGTCTGCATCTAAGAGGTCAAGGTGTGGTCGAGATTCTGTGACACCTCTCACAAGTGGGAAGAAGAAGAAGCCAGCAGCCTCTTTCATAACATTTGGCTGCAGTGCTCTCCTCAGCTGACAAGACTTCAGTGAGTTTGACTGAGGTGACTCCCCTGAGAGTTCTATAGCTGCCTGCCCTAATGTGTGAAGGATGTCCTTTCTCTGTTTCATTGTGTAATTTCTTTCAAAAAATTCTCCTCCAAGGTAAAAGGCACACTCACGGGGATGTGAGGCTGTGAGTGCACAGAGTGACCTGGCACGACTCACATCAAAATCCTCCAGGTTGTACTTGTTGTCAAGGTGCAATAATACCTTGGTCATCTCCACAGCCAACTCAGAGTCTTGTTCCTTCATGTCTTGCTGCACAATCCTTTCACATACTCTGAGGGCTGCTTCCACCTTATCTACTTCACCATCTATGATGTATTCTAAAACTTCTTGAGCATATGCAGGTTCCTTCACCTTTGACTGACATGTGTCATTTGACATATCATAGGGCTCAAACTCATCGTCATCACTGTCAAGTTCTGCTTTAGCTTCCGTGTTTTTGGAATGGTCTTCCATAATCACTTTTACCAAGCAATTTTTTGTATCTTCTTTACTCTTCTGCAAGTGGCTGTCTCTGCATACATTCTTAGATTCCAACCTCTCATGGGAACCTTTCTTCAGTATGCCAATGATGTATAATTCAGCTTCAAAATCTTCAAACAGAGAGGTACCATTACTATCACAACCTGATGGAGCCACTTCTAGGCAAGACTCCTCTCCCTCTTTACAAGCAAGAGCTTTCAGTTCAAAAGTAAGATCATCATCTTCATATTCAAACTTTAGACTTGGTCCCCCAGAGTGAAGCACCTTAGTCAACTCCTCCCCAACGACCATACCCAATACCTTCATTTCCTGACTTGGATTGTCCAAGTGGTTTGCCATTCCATGCAACAGCTTTTGGATTGTTTCATGCTTGCAAGCCTCAACATCCTCTGGGTTAAAGTGAGAGAGACAGGCCATCAGACCCTTGGTGATGAAGGTGTGGTGCTCAAAGGAGGAGTGTGTCATAATGCT